AATTTCGAGAGGAACACCAGACAGCCGACTCTGTGGCCGACTGTCGTCAGGAACCCTACACAAACACACACGACAAACACACCACACACGCTCACCACAACGCTATCCGACATGAAGAAGATTTACATTGAAGAGGTCTGTGTCTCCCGTCCTTATTGACATACTCCCTCTCATTACCATATATGTGTTCACTTTAATACATCTCACCGTTGCATCTGACTCCACTCACCTGGCGCCCACAACTGACATCAGCCACCTGGACAGACAAATGATCGTCGACTTCTTCCGACAAAACCAAAAATTGCTGGGAGCCTACGTTGGAAAATATACTAACTTAGGGTTAAATCTCACTTCCTGTAGACGCATGGTTCCTTAATTTATTTACACCAGACAAGACAGAAGAAGAGGGGAAATAAGTCAACGAATCATGGAGGGAGGGTGCACGAGGTTAGCACACCACGCACACACCCACACACCGCACACACACACCACGACACACACACACCACACCACAACACACACACACACACACACACCGACCACACACACCACACACACCACCCACACACACGGCTACCACACACCACACACACACACACACCACACACACACACACACCACACAACAACACACACACACACAACACCAACACACATGACACACACACCTAATAAGTAGTAACGGGCCATAAGAATGAAGGACGAAAGTCAGACCAAAGTCATCTTCGCTCAGCTTTAATTTGTTAAAAAAAAAAAAAAAAGATAAAGCGCTTTCTTTCACAAGGAAGGGTAAACCGAGGGAGGGGGGGGGTCATACAGGTGAAGGTGGGAACGTGTAGGTCTAGCTGAGAAGCTGGCGGATCTCCTTGTGCATGTGACACAGGAAGTCCACGTATGACGCTCCCCCGCAGACACTCTTGTCCTCCACCAGGAAGTGCCTGAATATCAGCTCAGCTTTGTCTTCCTGTTTCACCACCATGAGCTGGAAAACAGGAGAGACGGGGGGGTGAGAGCGGGAAGGGGGTCAAACCTTAAAGTGCTGTACCATCAGGCGTCAAATACTGCAAAGTAGGGCCGCATTTAGGATTATTTTCTCAATAAATAAACTAATATTCATATTTAAAGTGGACCTATCATGCTATATTTGAAACATATATTGTAGGGCCATACCTATACAAAACATGTCTGTGAAGTTTTTTGCTTAAAATACCAAACAGATCACCCATTGTAGCCATGCCTCATACTGCTCATTCCCCTCTTTTGAAGCCCTGTTAGAGAAACGCGGATCTTGGGTCCTTAGCTTGAAAGAAAAGAAAGAAGAGGAGGCGGAGCTAATGCCTGATCAGAATTCTACCGGAGATAAAGTTAAACTCTGTTGTGATAAAACGCAATCCTGTTTAAACCACGTCAAGGATTATTTCTGAAACAGTATGGAACTCAAATGCTTTTTCTCTTGCGGGTTTATCACAAGGTAAGTTCCTTTTTTTATTTCCTGCTCTTTAAAACACATGTGCTCTACACAGTACAGGTTAGCTCTGAGTGTTAGCGAGGAATGTAAATGTAAACAAAGAAAAGATTACGTCCAAAACACGTCAGGAATTGTTTCTGATAGCAACTTTCTGTGGGTCCGCTGCTGATTTGACGTCAGTTCGGATGGAATCTGTATCCGCTCGTTGTACACCCGTTTTAAAAGATTTGGGTACGGAGGAAAAGAGAGAGGGTTTTATTTTCTGAGGCGTGAGTTCCCGACGCACCGGGGACACATCGTTATGTATAAAAGACATCACAAAGTGCATTTTGCATGATAGGTCCACTTTAAGTAATGTTTATATACAATATATAAGTAAGGCATCAAAAGATAAGTATTTTTGTTGGTATTGATGTCGAAACTCAGCCGCCACATTGGCACAGACATCAGATATTTTTCATTTCAACGAGGCAGGATAAAGTGTCAGAGTTAAAGACTCTAGAGCTGTAATGAGGAAAATAAAAGGTTTACCTTCATGTATCGTGATCGCTCTGCTCTGAAGGATTCGATGATCTCTCTGAGTCTCTGAGAGAAGGGGTTGTCCAGCTCTGGAAGACTTGTCTGAAACAGAAGAAGTTATTTATGATATATTGTGTAACAAAGTGGAAACAACCTGCTATACTATGTACTATTCTGATGAAGTAACAAAGGAAATAAAGCAGAAGACGGCCACTTGGTTACAATTAGACAAGAAACACAGGATTAATGTGCAGGCAGTGGCTCAGTCAGCTAAGCTCCACAACATGTGAGCAGCTCTGTGTCCTCTCACCAGGCTCGGCTCTATCTGGCTGAAGTTGGGCGTGCCGAAGATGTTGAGCAGCAGCTCCTGCTGGACGCTGGCCCCCACCCACAGGAAGAGGTGGAGCCCCGTCTCCAGGAGGTACACTCCGCCTTTAGACAGCCTCTCCTCGGAGTCCCTCACCGCCATCGGCAACGACCCGGTTTCCAACTTCGCCTTGTGAAGTCAAAGAGGAGGAAGAACATTAGAGCAACATGTTGGTGTTCCATCTGCTGATCACACAAAGCATTCAGCCTCAAACAGCTGATCTCTGACAGGAGAATTGTACTTAATGGCTTAAACACAAAGGCTTGAGGGCACTCGGGTAAAGATATATATGTTGTATGTATTTAATATTGCCTTTTTGCAGCTAAAAAAGATGAAACTTAGAAGAAAAAACTAATAGAAATGAATAAAAAGCTCCAACTTTTCAGTTTGAACACTACAGTGTGCAAAGCTTACAGGTTAAAGGTTAGTTTTTTAATATTGTTGGGGCTCACTGAACTGTAAAGTAATAAGCACAGGCTAAATGAATGGCTGCCAGTAGCGCTGTGTGAATGAAGGCAGCAATCATATTCAATGCAACCAAGGCAAGAGCACATTTCTAGTGGATTTACTGCTTTAACACAGGGCTGATTCAGTTTATAATACTGCAGACTCTGCATGAGAACATTACACGTTCTGATGATACAAAGAGTTGTGATGGAGGAAAAGAGCCTTGTGTCTGGTTCTTTGTTCTATGTTCATCTGCTTTAATACTAAAACTGTACTGTGGATAAGACACAGGCTATTATTATATTGAGTACGAGGGAAACAAACACTGTTTTTTGATGGAAATGGACATCAAATAGTAGCCTTGACACTTTGATGATCACAGAAAAGCCTCTGCCCATATGAAATGTGATTTCCAACGCCACATTTTAACCATTTCTCATCCTACACCACATTTACACCCCGGTGATTCAACTTTAAGCTATTCAGTATTCTTTGAAGATCGTGGACATTGGCACTGAGCCGAATAATACCTGACCAAACCTTTGTGTTATTTAGTGTGTGTGTGGTCTCACCAGTGGCAGCAGGCGGGGGTAGAAGAAGACGTGGCTCTCGGAGACGTCCATGCAGCTGATCAGCTGCCTCAGGTAGGCCCTGTCGTCCAATGAGATGTCGGCCCCCGGCTGCAACACGTCACTCTTCAGCACGCAGTTCAGATACACCGGCAGCAGCTTCATGCACTCAGGCAGGATCAGCTGGACACACACACACACAGAGGTATGGTTATAAATGTAAACAAGTGACGTTAAAGATTCTATTCTTCTATTCAAACCATGTTGAGAGCAACCTCTTTTATTCTACATTTTATATTCAGCAACGTAAATGGTAAATATGTTTGAAGGAAGAAACTAAGATACTTTTGTAAATGTTATATAAATGAAAACACTTATTTATTTTTAACCATGGATGTGTCCTGCTCGTCTCTATATTTAATATGTTAGCTAACTCTTTTTGATCTGCTATCGCTCTACGGCTGTAAATCTCCCGGCTGCGGGACTTATAAAGGATTTCTAAATTGAAAGTGCATTTGCTCTCTAAATCTATTTATTTTTTGAATAAATAAAAACAAATAATGAGCCTGAGCAATCTGAAATTAAAATGTACTGTAAAATGGGATCCTGAGAATAAATCTGCTTATGTTGCATATTACAGTCATAGGAAGAAGCCCTGTGCAGTGCTGATAAGACGTAGTGTGGGTTGTATTACCTGACCAGCTGATGAGGGGCTCGCACAGTTCTTTCGGTAGCAGGCCAGGATCTGAGCACACTGGTTGATCAAAGTTTCTCTCACCGCCTTAGTGTGGTTGGTTAGGAGGCCTCGGAAAGCTGCAACACACAAACACACACACGTACATATTAAAATATCGAATATGATAGCCGCATATAATTATCATATAATCAACCACCAGGGACCAGTGTTAAAGGTCTCCTATTATACTATTTGTAGGCATATATTATAGATCTCAGATTTAGCATGTCTATGAAGTTTTTTGCTCAAAACACCAAACAGATCATCTATTGTAGCCATGCCTCATACCCCTCTATTTCAGCCCTGTTAGAGAAGTGCTGATTCTGGGTCTGACGCTTTAAATGTAACCCGAGTCGCTGCTGGCCACGCCCGTTTGGAGCATGCAAGCTCAAATGCTTTTTACCACAAGGTGAGTCACTTTTATATCCAGCTTTTTTACACATATTTTCTCCAGTACAGCGTTAGCTCTGAGTGTTAGCCATGCCTGCTAATGTAAACACAGACCATATTACTTCCAAAACAAGTCGTGCATTTTTTCTGATACAGCAACTTTTCTGATAGGGGAAGACAGGGAAGTGGGCCGAACGTTGACAGGAGTTCAACGTTAAGCCAGATAATATTTTAGTAAAGTCGTCATGACCGCAGCAAATCTGGATCAGCTCCGTTGTACCGCCATTTTTAGAGATTTGGGTAAGGAGGAAAAGAGAGAAGGTTGTATTTTTGGGGACACATTTATGTATAAAAGACATCAAAAAGTGCATTTTGCACAATAGGTGACCTTTAAGTAATAAAAGACTTATAACATGCAACTTTAAAAAGGATGTCCTCTCTTAAAGAAAACCATTTTACAGCGTCCTCTCTCCCTTGGATGGCGAGTGAACGCTGCCATGCTTCAGTCTTACAGAGCTGCATACATTCCTCCCGGCATTCCGAGAGGAACAGGTGCAACTTCCTACTGTTGGACAATTTGCAGCTCCACTGAAGCAGCTGGGGTTGGCTTGATAGTATTTATAGAAAATGTGACTCATTCCTTTCTCCACTCATAACTTGTTGAGACTTTTTAAGAGTAGAATCGTGGACATTTGCATTCCGCGCTCTCTGGATTGAATGAGAGCGGGTCCTCACCGTATTTGGAGAAGAAGTTGATGATTGTGTCCGTCTCACAGTTGCGGTAGAGGTCGGCCAGCTGAGAGCAGCAGTTGACCGCCATGTTGTGGACGCGGAGACGCCTCTGCCCGCTGCAGCTGGTGTACAGCACGGCGCACTGCGGGGGGGAACAGGGGTCAGATTAACAGACTGATTGATTGGATGTCTGCCATGTCAGATTAGGTGGCTCCGACCACTATAGAACTAATCTGAACCACTGCTGTTAGGAAGTACACTCAATGCAAAATCTGGATTTTGAAACTGTAAAAAATGTGTTTATTTTATTTTTTAAATGATTTTGTTGCACACCTGCATGAGGGCCCCCGTCTCCTCGCTGAGCTTGTCGTCGTGTTTGAACTCCACAGTGATGGCCTTGTCGCAGTCCAGGCCTGCTAGCTCCACGTCTGTGGTGTTGCTCATGAAGAAGGAGCCGAAGAAATCTGTCGCCCGGATACCTGAGGGGAGGGGAGGCAGGAGAGGGACATTCAGGAAGTCGGGTGTGATATATATCAAGATGGGATTGGCATTCTGCTTTGATTTCAGGTGGACGAGCCTCACCTGTGCTGGTTCGCACCCTCATGACGGCATCAAAGCCCACTAGTTTCTGAACGTCTCGCCTCAGATCGTTCAGGAATCGCTCTCTGTCCGACTGAGCCTGGGAATAACAAAACACACCATGAGTTACACACCACAGCTACGTTTAACGGTGTCAAATGATCCAACTGGTATTTTAACAAATCAGAGCATTATAGAGGCTCCAGTGGATCATAAAGCTGGGTTTGCCAAAGAAAGCCTGCAGCTGTATCAGAATAAGGAAAGAGTGATTTCCCCTCACTTGGAAGTATGTGTATTTGTAGATGGAGCCTCCAGTGGAGACAGGAACCACTCCTAACGTGGCAACGTCCACATACTGGTTGGGGAAGAGGAAGAGATCCACACAACAGCCCTGCGCTACACACTCCTTAGCCAGGGTGTTGTAGAAACCCGCCTGAGTCTGGAACAGAGACTGAGGAGGACAGGGAAGGACAGGAAGTCAGTGTGGAATCTTTCACTAATATATGAAAATGTTGCCCTAAATAAATGACAGATACACATTAAGCTGCAACATACAACATATATTAATGTCCAACACAAGTGAATATAAAATAAACTTGCAACCTTCTCCTTATCGGTCCCAACTAGCTTCTTGTCTTCTCTGTTCTTCAGTTTTCCCGGAGCCTCTGCGATGGGTAGAGAGGTGTGGAACACAAACAGCTTCCCTGAACAGTCTGCAGCCTGAGGAGGGACACACAACATACAGATCATCAGGCATGGCAGCAGACTTCAAACACCAGCGCGGCCTGATCACCACTCTAATCCACCATATTGTTTTTGGTTTGAATAACTGGTGAACGCCACACACAGGGCTCAATAGTAAGCTTTGTTTGTTAGTAAAGGGTATCTATGGGTCCTTCCGTCCTTCCTCAAGGAAATGTGAAGGTTATTGACTTAAAACAATGCCATTTCCACATTATGTTTGGACCATTATTATGCTATAGGTAAAACTAAATGATAAACTTGCCAAAGTTAAATCATTACTTTAGTATCGATAAGCAGAAACTTTCAAATAATGTTTCTTCAATTACACTTTTTCACAAATAGGCCAAGAGAAACCTAATTTTGATAAAACCGTTTTTTGACGTCCTGTTTTCCAGTTTGGAAATCTGAGAAACACGGATAAACCGGGAGAAATCTTATCCCTGTAAATGTAAGTGGCACTATGTGCTGACCTTGAGTGCCTCCAGTCCCGCCTGGATGACGGGTCCAAACACTGTCTCCGTCTCCCTGGTGTCCGCAAACATCTCTGGGATCTGGTCCAGCAAACTGGAACATCACAAACAGTGTGTGAGTAAACCCGATCCATTTGTCTGTCCTCACACACCTTATTCATATGTCAACGTGTGTGTGTGTGTGTGTGTGTGTGTGTGTGTGTGTGTGTGTGTGTGTGTGTGTGTGTGTGTCAGGTTTTTTGTACCCACCTCTCGATAACTTGCCGGCTCTCGTTGACGTTGACCAGGAAGCCGTCGAGCAGAGGCACAAACATGTCCGACACATCCGACACCACCAACATCTGCGGCTGGGCCAGGCTGGACTTTACGTTGTAGAAGTGCAAAACCTTGTTGTAGGTGACGAAACCCACCCGCACCACGGAGTCCATTTCTGGGTTCTCCCTAGACGCAGAAACGGTTGGGGGAGAGGGAAAATAGTTAGGTTTGTATTTTCTGACAGTAGTGAGAGTAAAAAATCCCCCTCATAAGAGGAAGTGTTCCTTCCTTCCTCTTTATCTCCTCTTTTCGCTTCCTTGCCTTTCGCTCCCCTTTCTTGTGCTTTCTCCATATCTTCCTATTCTATCCTTCAAATTGGATCCTTCAATCAGTCTCTTCTTCACTAGTTTCCCTTCTCTCCTCTCTTCTTCTTTCCCTGCTTGTTTTTCTTTCCTCTCGTATATATTTTGTGTGAGTATGTGTCCGAGTACCTGGGCAGGTAGTCGAGGAGGGTCTTTAGTTCCTGGCACACGATGTTGACCATGCCGCACTTCACAGCGTTGTAGGACACATCGATGAGGAAGATGAAGGCTGGAGGCTGAGGGATCTTGTTGTTCTGTTACAGAAGAGCACATAGTTTGTATTAAGTCACGCGTAAATGATCTAGAATATGGTATGTAACATATTAACAGAACAGACAGGTTCTTATATTTAACTCTTTGATTGGCTGAGAAGCATTCAATGGGTGTTTCAATGACAATTACTATATATGGCAATAAGCCAAGTGTAAAACCTGTATCTAAACCCATATGTACCCAGCATCCCTCAGGGTAACATGCCTGTATTGTTAGGATGCTTTACGACAAATCACTTAAAACTAAATGCAGATGAAATAAAAAGTAAACCAAGGCAATTTCAGAAAGACTTTGCTTTTATGACTTAATTGGAATATGACTAGCTCTTTCTGCAGTTATTTGTTAATGGATGTGTTTATTATTGTGTCATTCTGACCTGTGATAGCATTAATGAAACCAGATTCTATTACAGATAATGACTGGTGGAGATCACTGAAGGGAACCATGGGTAAACATTCCTCTACAGAAGAACTTTATACTACTCAAACAGAGATCTGGGAACAATGATGGTTGCACAATCTGAGTCCAAAGGTGGCTTTCCTGCAGGAAGGACCTACCTTACAGTAGTCGACAGTGGCCATGAACTCGTAGCTTCCCAGCGAGAGCTCCGGCCGGTCGTAGCAGTCCACCCTCTTACCAGTGTGGTCCAGATGCTGGAAGTAATGTGGAGGCACTGTGGGAAAAGAGGAGGAAGGGCAATCAGTTCAGTGATTTTCATTTAAAGGTCTCCTATGATATTATTTTTACGCATATATTACAGGTCTCACATACAGGACTGTCTCAGAAAATTAGAATATTGTGATAAAGTTCTTTATTTTCTGTAATGCAATTAAAAAAACAAAAATGTCATACATTCTGGATTCATTACAAATCAACTGAAATATTGCAAGCCTTTTATTATTTTAATATTGCTGATTATGGCATACAGCTTAAGAAAACTCAAAAATCCTATCTCAAAAAATTAGAATAGTTCCTCAGACCAAGTAAAAAAAAAATCTTTATAACAGCAAAACACAATCAAACATTTGAAAATGTCNACATACACACACACACTCTCTCTCTCTCTACACACACACACACACACACACACACACACACACACACACACACACACACACACACACACACACACACACACACACACACACACACACACACACACACACATTAAACAAGAGTCAGCTATTCTGATCTCATACACTTTTTGGAAAATCTGGCAAAGATCACTTCAAAGTCAGCTAGTTCAGTTTGTGTACTTAAAAAAAACGGGTACATTTTCACTTTTAGAATCTAGTTGAAAAAGGGACATTATATAAAATCAATTGGAAACATTAGATAAAGACAATGTGGTTTCATAATGGTTTAAAAGAAAACTTCCAAGCAGAGATAAAACAAATAGAGGATATCAAACACAGTAATTTAAATACTTTTTATGTTAATGATAATTAAAATTGACTTCTCGTGTCACGTTATAGGAACAAGCTGCTGTGAATGTATCACAGCAGTCAAAGTAACTCACTTAGTTAATTGAAACTTGTAAAAGATCAATAAAGCTCCAGGTCCCTCTCTCCTAATTCTGCAGTATTAATTAAAGATTCTCACTCTTCTGTATCTTCTTAATTAGAAACTTTGAAGCGTCTGAATGAAAAAAAAACAGTAAATCAAATTAAACCACAGGATTTTAATCAGAATGTTAACAGTGAGGTATTTTGTTGTAAATTGCCTACAAATCGGGTATCACTGTTTGATCCTCTGCTGAATCTCTCCGCTTGCTCCTGTGAGGACGAGGCTTTAAAGCTTTTGGTTTCACACTCAGAATTTAAATGACATGTTAGGGGTCTCGCACAAAGCCGCACTGCAGCCCTGAAATTGTTCCACAGTTGCCTAAAGCGCAGGAATATGAGGAAAAAGGCTTTCACTGCATCATAACCTTGACCGTGCGGCTGCTCGGCTTTCAGCTTTGGCCATCGATGCGCTCAGGGGCCACTTTGGGCCAGAGTCACCCCTCCATGTCATCCTGCCATCACAGAGAAACAAGCCCACTGGCAACACATACAATAAAAGGAAATGTCAAATCAAAGAGATGACAGAAAATAGCTTTACCATAGGGCGTACTTATTTTAAAAGGAAAGTGTTACTGCTGTTATTGCAAATAGAGTGGTGCAGTGATGACATATTTTTTTGTAGGCTGTCCTGAAAGTTAGCATCGCAAAGGAAAAAGGATTTACCGATTGGATTTCCGTATAATGCAGAAAACAAATGTATAGCACATGCATGATACCTAACATGTGTTGTATTGCATGATGACCTCCACATATTTACACCATGCAATGCATTCAGCAGAACTCAAAAGCTAGAAATCCTCAACACTAAGCTGAAGGCAACTAATACGATACGATATCCTTTATTGTCCCCGTAAGGAAATTAGTTCTGGACTCTGTCCTGCAGTTCCGCATCCATGTATATATACAAACATAATAAACAATAAAATACACACACATATCATCACTCATAAACCGTTTGAACAAACACAGACGCACATACTGACAATGGCGACCTATTGCACAACCCTCATGGCCAACATTTAAAAAATAAATGTCATTGAATGTTAAGAAGCTTAATGGACATACGCAGGAACGAGTGCTTATAGCGGTTAAGCCTGATGTTCGGCATGATGATGACATTCATACCCGTATAATCACGAGTCAGGTTCGTATTTTATGTCGTGAAACAAAACGTTAGAATCTCTTCAGCTTATGATAACTACAGACCTTATATACCTACATGTTCAAACATATTTTTGACTTTAAGATAAGTGAACTAGAAATGGTAAAATGCTAACTAATTTCCAGGGTTTTAGGACTTTATTATTACTTCTGACGCTTTTCTCCAAAGCGACTTACAATAAGTGGAAAAACCATAAAAAATCCAACTTCAAACAACAAGGAAAGTGCAGATATATTCACTTCAAGCAAGAACATACCATAGTAAGTGCTGGTGAATCAGATACAAGGCCTAAATTAAATCGACAAGTGCTTAGTTTTTTTTTTGTTCTGCTCTGCACTATAAATGGACTCTCTACAAACCACATTTTGTTTAATGGAGGAAACAGAAAGTAAACTTTTTCTACACCTATCCCATTAACATAAATGTAAATAACTCACACTTGAATTTCTTCCACTCCACCTAACTATATTTAATGTAACTACATTCATTTGTTCCTACAAAGCATCTCATTCATGCACCGCTCGATTGAGTCAATGAAATATGGAATAAGCTAATGTCCCACTCTGAGTTATATGTTCATGTTGTGACAGGAAAAAGGATTTTCCCATTGGATTTCCATATAATGCAGAAAACAAATGTATNCCAGTAC